GAAAAATGAAAAAAAAGAAAGAAGAAGAAGAAGGAAACATTCCTTCTCTTTCTTCCGATCTCACTCTTCTTTCTTATTTTTACTATTCTTTCTTTTTTAGTTAATTATTTCTTCTTTGCAATCAACTTTTTCCCTTGCGATACTTTAAGCCTTTCTTCCGGTCGTCACGCTGAACCAGTCTCTTTCTTGATCATTCCATATTCGATTAGTTGCTTGGAATATTCTGTTGAAACAAAATAATAACAAAATGATTTTGTTTTGGTGACAAATGATTCTTTCGATTATTAATCCGTTTCGAAAATCAATAAAAAGTTTTATAGACAACGAATAATAATGGAACCCTACTTTCATTAACAAATACCATAAAGATTGAAACACAGGAATGTAGCTATAATACTTACCTGGATCTGACGTGATGCAGTGTCTTCCGATCGAAAACAGAAATCGACTGCTTCTGATGTTGTCCTTAAGCGTCACTGATAAATTTGATCGTATGATCCTGTATCACTATGCCTCCTCCTTGCACTACTTTCACCTGTTTTGTTCATGTTGCCATTTTTTGAGATAATACAAGTGTCCGGCGTTAGGTGCCATCTGGCATTAGAGGACTTCCCCTATATATGATGGTTTATGACGTCTTTTTAATAGAATTGTATATTTTTGTTGCTTTGCTTAATTGTGGCCGATATCTAAACGAGTTATACACAACAGTATAACTAAATATCTATAATCTTCAAATAGACATCAACACAAAAATATGGAATAAATAAAATGAAGTGTACAAAATTGTTTTGCTTAATTTTTGTATAATAATACCAGATATATTCTATATAATATCACATAATAAAACTAAAATTTTCTCTATGTAATTTATACTAATTAATCTATATTTCGTATAAGTACTATTTATACATATATACATAGTATACATAGACTGCATTAAACGATACAAAAAAATGGAAAATCGAATATACGTAAACCGCGGGAATTCAAAATTCCCGATACTTTTTGAACAGACCTCATATTCTATAGACTTATTCGGTAAATATAGTAGATAATGTATAAAAACATATTGAAAACATTTCTAAAAGATTCAAAAATCTTTCATAACGTTAAAAGAAATATAATTTGAAATATTAAAAGTATTATAAATGTGTTCAAATGTGTAATATTGTTGCATACATTTAAATAACTCTATGAATACTTATAACAAATCGTAAAAACAAGTTAATAATGACAATGACAATGAAGAATTATTCGATGATTTGTACTTAATGAAAACATAAAATTGCACCTACCCGGAAGGACGGAAATTATAATATATTATAATTTAACAAATAACAAATTACTAAATGGTTACGAAGTTTGTACTAATATTTTTGATTCAGTTATATTACTGATATGCTTAAAATTCGTTAAATTATAATTCAACAGTTGTTGCTGTATATTATTGTCCATAGAATTAAATACATTATTGATTGAAGGAAGTGAATTTTCGATACATTGTTGCTGATCAACCCCTGATGGTGGTATGTAAGGGTAAAGAACTGTCGATTCTTCAATCTCGCATTTTTTCAATTTTTTCTTTCCATCTCTATTCTCCCCAACATCTAACATGTCCTTTACTTTTTCGTTCTTTTTAAATTTCATACGTCTATTTTGAAACCATATTTTAATTTGTCTTTCAGTTAAACAAAGTGTCTCCGCTAATTCTATTCTACGTGGTCGACAAAGATAACGGTGCCGTTTGAATTCATTTTCTAAGTCTATCAGTTGATGACTGTTGTATGCTGTTCTTTTTCGTTTTCCGGTTTTCTCAACAGTTACTGCAATATGAAAAAAAAAAAAAATTGTAAGTATGGCTAAATACTTCGTATAAAATTAATTTGATAAAATAATTCAATTGAATTGGAAACAAAAAATGGAAATAAATTCGTTCAAATAATAATAATAAACTATAATAATTAACTAGATTGATCTATATTAAATATTTCATTATTCATGTCTAGATAAAGATAAACTATAAAACTGTTTGGTTCTGCAATGAAATCTTTATCGTTTACAAAATACGCTAAGATCGAGTTACTCGAGTTTTTTCTGCACAGGATTTTCTAATAGTCCATTGAATCCTCTCGTTTCAAGACGAGGACTTTCCACGTGAGACATTATAATCTGACGATGAGCTTCTTTACCCTTACAACCTGTGCCAACAAATTACTATCCACCCCTCCCCCCCCACACCAAAGTCAAATATCATAAGCTCGATTTTTCTTATTTTTTTTTTTTTCTAGGTATTTATTTGGAAATATTTGTTTTCCATTATGAAATATTGAGAAATATAGACACAATCTATAATAAGGAAATATATTTGTAGCCTTAGGACATTTTCTTTCAACTAATCGCTTTACGAAAGATTAAAAAACGTCGACGTATATTCGACAACTTGTCGAAATATTTTCTTTTTTATTCTTAACGATAAATATATATCTAAGGAAAGTTGATAAGAAATAGAAATTAGATAAAACTGAACTTGATAAAAACTATAAAAAAAACATAAGAATAAGAGCAAAGATAAAAATAAAAATAGAAATACAAATGATCGTTAGATTTTTATTAGATGTCACGTATGCTTATTGTCGTTCAATCATTCCCAATTCCTTTTTATTAATAAGTACTGAAAAATAAATTTTTTGTGAATAAGAATATATTTTTACTAATTCGATATGTATTCAAAAAATTGTAAGCTCGCTTTGAAACGAAACTAGGCGTATGAGATATTTCTAATTTTGTTAGTTTTGTCAAAATCTTTCTTTGATTTTCTACGAAAAGTATCGCGAGCAACCGAAGTTCTCAGTATACAAACAATCAACATCGGCATTCAGCAACTCACCAAAATCTTATTGGAGTGTATATTCAATATTTAATATACATATATCTTTACACGGGTACGTTTTAATAATTAAAATGAAAATGTTTTAAATTTTCATAAAGGAAAGATAAATAATGCAAAAAAAAGAAAAGAAATCAAAAAGAAAAAAGACGTTAACTTAATCAATATACCTTCAGATGATGAAATTTTTTGCACGTTATTAGTAGGTTGTTGTTCTTGTATTTCATCTCCCTGATTGATTTTCATTGATC